TCCTCCCCCCCTCCCCCACCTACCCTGCTCCTCCTCCCCCACCTACCCTGCTCCTCCTCCCCCTCCCACATCATTTACCCTGCTCCTCCTCCACCACATCTCCACCTCTTGACTGCTGCTTTTTCAGGAAGAGAACACGTCTGTAATGAGCGTCCTTGAAACCAAGACTAGTGATAACTAGATTCATTAGCAGCGCGTCTTTAGTTTATTTGTCTGAATGTGAGAAGTAAATCTGTTTCCTAGCAACCTGTCCTCTGCTTCCACCATCTTCCTTACTCATTATCCTCCCCCATGATCGGCTACAAATGAACCGAATTATGGGTAGAGTTTAGGCCTCCCGGAAATTGAAGGGACACTTAAACACATTTGTTTGTTCTCTTCTCTTGGCAGGAAGCAGCTCTTTGGACTGGTACTTACTAAGAACAAAGCACAGTGATAAAAGTGGCCGTCAGCCTCAGTGTGTCCATAGGTCCGGAAGCCAGCTAATCCGGCATGGCCGCTTGAGTGGCATCTTTTAGCCATTTCATGGAAAGCCAATCAAAGGGAGCCATCATTTTGACTAATGTTCCCTAGACACTTGTCTACAAAGCAGGTGGTCATTTATGGTCGTTTTACACATAGTTCTTTTGAGTCTTACGTCAAAGCCCTTCGCCTTTAACACTCTAACAATCACATAACTGTTCAAACTGACCTGCCAAACCTCTTTTGGGAAAGGCATGGGAAAATATTCTGTGCGCCAATGCAGAATGCAAGGAGGGACTTAGCCAGCCCATTCTCCACTGGGCTCTCCCAGCCCAAGGCTTTCTAAACGTGAATAATCAGAACTGGGTCTCAGATGGTATCGCTATGGATAAAGTACTTTCCATACAGGTGTAAGGGCCTGAGTTCAACTCTAACATCCACCTAAAAAACAGGTGTGGTGGGTGTGCTTGTAATCCCAGTGCTGGGGAGAAAGAGACGGGGGATACCTAGTTCTCACAGCCAGCCTAGCCTAATCCACTATCTTCCCATCCCGAAGGAGACCAGTCTCAAAAATCCAAGTGTGCAGCTCCTGAGGAATTACACCCAAGTTTGACCTCTGGCTCCATGCACATGTGTAGGTGTACCCACGCACAGGCAAACATGCACATGCTCATGAAATAAAGGAGTCATCTCTATTAAAGATAATCTTTGAAACATAGTCCTTTCATGGACATTCTAATCAAAATGCCTTTAGAACTGTGTGCAGGTACCAAGGGGAACTCTGGGTGACACAAAGTCTATTTCATTCCTGTGCCTTTGTTCATTCCTTTGTTTATCTGACACACACACCCTCCAGCACCTGTCATGTGCCAGGCACCCTGTAGACACTGGTGCCATCCTCATTCAAGGCTGCTTGAATGGATAGCCTCTTCCAGCTCTGGAGTAGGATTATATGTCCCTGCTGATTAAGGGGATCTGGCTTTGCCAGTGGCATATGGACTGTACCTGTGTTTGTCACTTTGAAGTAGAGACTTTAGAGCTAGGGTTTTGCCACAGTCTGCCATCATCCTGTCTTAGCCGTCATTCTGTTCCCTCGTGCTCAGGGAGTCCATAGTGGAGTCCCTTGGTGATACGTGGCACATCACCAACAGCAGACACATTCTCATCGCCCCATGCCTCCTTGACTGACAGATCACTATTGCTATGGACACATGGATTCAAAATGCAGTCCCTTGCTATTTCCACTCAGTGAGGCCATGCTAACCATCTAGTATGAGCATCAGTGTTCACATGAAGACAACCCTAAATGGGTGGTGCTTGCATGGAGATCACCTCTGGTCACAGAAGTCAGACATTTCAGAAACTGATGCTATATCACATTCATCCCATGATCCTTTGTAGAGAATTGCCCATGCGGGTCACTAGGCTTGTATGGATGCTGAGAACTGCACGCATACGGTTGTTATTCATTTCACAGAATCCCCATCTCCGAGCCTAGTCATCCCTATTCTCATTACAATGTCAGAATCCTGTTTTGAACTAAAGTTCAGTGGGCTGAAACCTTGACACATACTCATCACTGTGTGCGAAGGTCTCAGCCTGGCTTGGAAGAGATGACAGAGGGTGGACACATGACCTCTGTGACTCAGACTTCTATGACACACCATTTTCAGACACTGGCAAGTCCCAACTCCTTCTCAGAGCAATTTCTAACCCCAGCCGGCCCCCATTGGAGGATTAATCAGGCTTCTTGGGACTCAGCATGGGACCCCTGCAGGCCATAGGCAGCTGCCCAAACTAACACCGAAAGTGCGACCAATGGGAGGAAAGCTGTTCCAAAAGTGACTGGGAAATCATTAATACACCACCTTTAGAGTGTGAACAGAGAAAAGAAAGGGGACAGGGGAGTCTGAGACGGACAGTGGTGAAGGTGGAACCTAAAAGTTCACACCAGCTTCAGAGGGAATCCGGCCAGTCGTTTTCTGCCCCTGTTCTCACTTGGGTATCACCTTGGAAAGGTGCTGTAGAGAAACACCAATCTGCATTTCTAATGCAGCCAGAAAGAGACAAAACCAGACAGATGTGGAAATTCACTCCAGGGACCCTCTGAGCGAAGCACAGCCGTCCTAAAGTAAAGACCACAGGGGAGTTTTGTTCTCACAAAATGCACTTGTTCCGTTTCCAAATTCTCCTCTTCCCAGACCAGCTGGAGTGAGTTTGGTTCCAGATCCGCCTTTACTGAACTCCTCTAAATAGTGAACGTTGGTCTCATTTGAGCCTGAAGCTGCCGTTTGGTTGTGACCAGCTGGAGCTCACACCAGCACAGGCTGTCTTTTTTCCACCAGCCTGTACCAGGAAAAAACCACCACACTCAGGTCTGGAGAGATGGCTCAGTGGCAAAGAACACACGATGCTCTTACAGAGGACCTCTGTTCAGTTCCCAGCTCCCACACCACAACTCACCCCTGTCTGTAACTCCAGTCCCACGGGATTCCATCCTCTCTTCTGACCTCCACAAACGCTAGGCACACGCATGCCTCAGACAGCAGGCAAACAGTCATACAGATGAAATATACTAATGAATAGACGAGAAAGAGAACACTAACATTGCTTGTGTCCAGTCAGTTTTAACAATGACAATATTTCAGTGAGACTCTGCTCATTTTTAATTTCCCCTGCATTATGTAGATTTCAGTTGAAAATAAAGAGCTAATTTGAATTAGCTTCATTGTTCTCCTGGTGCTCTGGAAAAAGTACTAAAACAATCAGCCTGGATCTATTTGACAAAGCATTAAATAGTTAGGGAGATGGAATATGAAAATTTATCCCATTGTAAGTAAGAAGTTTCTCCCACGTTTTCTTATAAATTCAGCTGTGCCCCAATTTAAGGAAATTTATACTGAAAAATATATCAACTTGTAATAAACCGTGAAGGTAAATTTGTGCTTCCAAAGCAATACTTCAAATTCAGAGCCCTCTTCTTCTTCCAGGCAGTAATTTATTTAAAGATGGAAGCAACTCAGAGTGAGCTGACTAGGGGGGAGGGACCACTGAAGGTATTTTAGGGAGTTACAAGACTCAGGAGGAACTGTCAGCACCCAGGATCCGAGACGCCTCAGGCTGCAATGAGTTTAACTGGTGCTCATCTCATTCAAACCCTCTAGACAGACGCTTGGGAAGTGACCACAGCCATCTTCCTTCTGAGAGTCATCTTCCTGGGAGCTGGTGATGTAGGTGCCCTGTTCCTGTGACGCAGCATCTCAACTGTGAGTCCCCATGGTCTCTACGCCATAATACACCAATTACTATTTTCCAGAAATGCAACTTGTCTGACTTGGGACAGTCCTGCAGAAAGGGAAACCTAATCGTCCAAAGGATCCTAGAGTTCTGAGTTCTCCTTCTTCTCGAGCCACGGTTGTGAACCATGGCCTTGGAAGCCTGATGTAGGTGCCAGGTACAGCTTTTACACAGCCTGTGGTATTAAAGGGTGACTAAAGCCAGCCATCTGGGCTGGGTAGTAGTGGCACGTGACTTTAATCCCAGCACTCGGGAGGCAGAGGCAGGCGGATCTCTGTGAGTTTGAGGCCAGCCTGGTCTATAAGAGCTAGTTCCAGGACAGGTTCCAAAGCTACGGAGAAACCCTGTCTCAAAAAAAGTCTAAAAAAAAAAAAAAAAAAAAAAAAAAAAACAACCACAACAAAGAAGCCAGCCATCTGTCACTGTTGCTTATATTTTTGTTAATTTTTTTATGGCAGAGATCTACAGCTAGTTGATCTTAGGATAATTTATTATAACACATGGCTCTAGGTGTGGCCTTCCTGTCACTTTTCTAAGTTCAAATCCCAGTCCTTACTCACTAGATTTTGTTGTTTGTGTACAACACAAACATTTTCAGGTTTCGTGTCTCATCTTTAACCAAGGCTGTGATCCTAGCTCTCAGGAGGCAGAGGCTGGAGAAGCAGGAGCTCACCATCGCCCTCAGCTACAAGAGAGTTTGGATTACCCTGGGCTATGTTATATTCCATCTAAAAAATAGCAACAAAAGCAAAGCTAGGTGTGGTGATCTGTGCCTATAATGCCAATGTTGGCTGTGGTAAGGGTGAGGATGGGGCACACAGGCAGATCCCCAGAACTCACTGACCAGCTACTCTAGCCAACTGATGGGCAACAGGCTTATTGACAGACTTTAGGGGAGAAAGGGGGAATGGAGAATAAAAGAGGAGGATGCCCATCTTCAACCTCTAACTATACCCCCCACACTCACACACGGGTACACTCACACACATGCATACAAACCTCCTCCATACAAAGAACTTAAAACACAGCTAATCTCACAAAATCCGGTGGGTTACAAATGCATGTCACCGTGCACAGTGGTGATCTTGGGTTGATTTGACAAGGTCGTAAGAATAAATCTTTGTTGTCTGCACAGGTCTGTGAGAAGTTCCTGGATGAAACACTTGTGTCTATGGAATAAGTTAAGCTCAGTGCTCTCTCTGGTGCAGGTGGGCCTCCTCCATACAGGTGAAAACATAGAGGAAAGAGGCTAGCCCTCAAGAGATGCTGTGGACCACTTTCTCCTCGGCCAGAAGCTGAAATAATTGCTCTTTTTTCCAGCCTTCCATGTGGGGCTAAGACACTGACTCATGTTGGGTCTCAGGACTTCTTCTCAGGAGATCCTTGCTCCTGGATCTAAGGCCTTCCCACTCTGTGTTCAGGCTCCTGGGTCTGCAGTGTACCAACCACAGATCTCAGACTTCTATGCCTCTATAATCATAGGGTCATATTTTGGAATAAATCTCAACTTCTCATCTGTTTTTTTTAATCTGTTTCTGTCCCTGTGGTAGATGAGTTCTGTATTCAAGTATGCGACTATCTGCAGATAAAGAATATGGTGGTGTGGTAAGGGATTCCACAAAGGCTGCCATTGCCCATGCCTGGCACCACAAAATTCATACACATACAGTAGCATGTAGGCATGGCATTCCAAAGCCACTGTGCAGTCTCCTAATCTTTCCATATA